CGATTGTGAAGGCGACAATAGTGGTGTGGGGGTGGGAGGTTAGGTTAGAAGCGAGGTGAGATGGGGGGTTAGGTTAGGGGCAGGGTGGTGGAGATGGGTGTTTGATGGTAGTTGTGACGACGATAATGATGGGATGTTGGTCGGATGGTTGGGAGTGTGTGGGTCTGACAGCGACAATAGTTGCATGGTGGTGGGTTGGGGTAGGGTGGGGTGGAGGTGAGTGGAAATTCTAACGGCGACAATAATGGTGTGATGGTAGGGGTTAGGTTAGGGGCGTGAAAGTAATGGTAGTAGCATGGTCGTAGTAGGGATATGCGATGAGTGATCGGGGCGTGGGTGGGTATGATGACAATAGTAATGGCATGGTGGTTAGTGGCGGGGTAGGGTGGGTGGCGGCGACTGTAGTGGTGTGGTAGTGGTGGGGGGTCAAGGGTGGGGCATGACGTACATTCGTGGTGGGTGGTGCTGGAATTCAATTCATTCCATTATGCCAAGAAATGATGAATTCATTAATTTGTGGAATTCAATTGAATTTGAAGGATTCCATCCATTACAAGAAATAAACCAAACAAATGAATGAGAAATTGGTTAAAGAAATTTGTCACTACAATTCCATCAAATTCCTTCGAATTTCGCGAACCAAAGGGACCCTAAGGTCCCGTTTGGTTTTGAAGGAATGGAATGGATTTAAGGGGATTTGCATTTCAAATCCATTCCAATCCCATGTTTAGTTTGTTGGATTGTCCGGATTTGAAATCCTAGAATTTAATTGAAATCTTTCAAGCATAGGATTTTGAAATCCTTAGGGAGTGCTCGGGATTTCACAGAATTCCTTAGGATTGTATGCAATAAGGTTTTAAATTTTTTTAAAAACATTTGTTTTGTAATAATCAATTAATAAAAATGTAATTCAATTATTTTTATATTTGTTTATAATTATTTATAAATAATGAAATATAATTCCATTCCAAACCCTACAAGTCAGACACACCAATGATTTCAAATCCATTCTAATCCAAATCCCTCAAAATCCAAATCCCTCAAAATCCAAATCACTCAATGAAAATCTAAATCCCTAAAAAACAATCTTGCAAACCAAATGGACCGGACCCTAAGGGTTTTAAATCCGCTGCCATAAGCCCCGATGACTTACAGCTATGGAAGAAGAAATGCATGCTCTTCGCATAAATAATATATCGACTCTTGTTCCACGTCTAACTCAAATGTGATTGGTTCTAAATGGATTTTTTGAACAAAATATCACTCTGACGGTTCCGTTGAACGACTCAAAGATCAACTTATGGCCCAAGGATTTACGCAAATACCAGGTTTCGACTACTCACATGTTTAGCCCTGTTGTCAAAGCTGGTTACCATGCGTATTGTCCTAGCTCTTGCTGTCATCAACAAATGGCACTTCATCATATCGATGTGAAGAATTCATTTCTAAATGGGTTTCTCTCGGAGATCATTTTTATAGAACAACCTTCAGGATTATCGATCTACGATATCCTAATCATGCTTATCGCCTCAAAAAAGCACTCTATAGTGTCAAACAGGTTCCCTAAGCTTGTTTCCAACATCTTAGCCATTTTCTCACGCAACCTGGCTTCACTTGTAGAAAAGCTGACATGTCACTCTTTATTTTTCGCCATGATTCTTGCTTACTTTACTTACTAGTGTATGTGGACGACATCATCTTAAGAGGTAATTAATGACACTACCATTGTCCAACGCTTTATCGCTCCCCTAACAATGAGTTTGCTATTAAAGATCTTGGTCGCTTCAATTATTTTCTTGGTTTGGAGGTCGTTTTCACAAATTATCAGTTGTTTTTAAGTCAAACAAAATACACATATGATATCTTACAGCAGGTTGAGTTGCTCGACTCTAAACTAGTCACCGCCACTTTCTCCTGGTGAACGATTTATGAGAGTTGTCATACCTTTTTCATACACCACTGTCTATCATTCACTTGTTGGCACCTTGCCATATTTGACGATAGCAAGACCCGATATATTGCATGCTGTAAATCAAGTCAGTCAGTTTCTTTATGCCTCGACTATTGATTACTTTCAGGCCGTAAAATGCATTTTACAGTATGTCAAGGGGACTCTCTCCTTTGGGCTCACTTTTCGTCACGATGCATCACCCTATGTACTTGGGTACTCACTACTCAGATGATGGTGTACCAACCTCTCTATGTGGTTACTCCGATGCAGATTGGAAATGCTGCATGGGGACCCATCGCTCGACCTATGGCTACTCCATCTTTATGATGAAAACTTAGTTTATTGGAGTGCAAAAGAGCAACCAACTGTCTCTCATTTGAGTTGTGAATCTGAATATCACGCTATGGCTAACGCGACAACTGAGATGGTTTGGGTGACTCATATTCTTCACGAATTATATGCCTTGCCTACTTCATGACTAGTTCTCTTTTGTGACAATCGAATTGCTCTTTTTCTCAGGCAAAATCCCATTGCTCACAAGTGTGCTAAACACATCGAGATTGACTACCACTTTATACGAGAGTTAGCTCTTCCTGCAAACTCTTGACTCAGTGGGGCAGTGGGGCTTATATTTTTTATATAATAAATATTTTTATTTATTTTAAATAGTTGACTAAAATGACTAAAATCCACCCTAATTAAACTATGTTAAGCATAAAAATATAACAAACATCACAGGGTGGAACAAAACCGAACAATTATGCAAACATCAAGGACAAGTGGGAAATAAATAAAGATTAGGAACGAGTTTTGTTACAACTCACATAGTTCATGGACCAAAACTAAAATTGAAAATGGAGGGAATATGAAGTTGAAGACCGCTGAAAACTCGCAAAAACACAAACCATCTTTTATCATCCACCAAAAAACAACCACCCTTCCATTCCCTCCCTTAGAACTTGGGGCAAATCGTCGCGCTGCTTCGATCGATCTCATCACAAAGAATACGATCAATACCAAAATCATATTCGGAATATCGATCAAATATGGATCAGATGATGAACTTTTGGTTTAGTGGTAAAGCTGGCAAAGATATGGAAAATGTCACCAAGGATATCAATGTAAGTTTCTTTACCTATGTGTTTCTGCTAGATTTGAGAGATTGATTTTCCCGTATGATCCATGTCCGACAAGGAGATAGTTTCATTTATCGGTTTGGATTAGAACTGTGCATGGCTTTGATATGTTTCATCTCATGTTGAGATATGGTTAATTTTGCATACGACGTCAAAATTGCCTACGTGTCCCAATTGATAGGTTTATAGGACATAAATTTATAAGACCATAAATTCTTGGGACACTTTTAAAATAAAGCGTTGTATAACTATTTTATAGAACACTATTTAAAAAAGTGGTTTATATTTTCTCTAAAAAGATGTGTTTACAGGACATTGTCTAAATGTATCCTGTAAAATAGTTAATACGACGCTTTATTTGAAATGTTGTAAGAAACCTGTTAAGACGCTAAAAGCTCCTATAAACTTATTACTAACACTTTTAGATATGCTTCTTTTATTGTTCATTTCTATAAACATAGATCCTATATATAACGGCGACACTTAAACAATATTGTTTGCATTGCATTTAGTGATGTGATTTTTTGTGGTTTGAGACATATGTGGTGCTCGGAAAAATCTTCAAAACACATATGCAATACGGTTTACGATTTGGCCCTATACCAGACCAAACGCACCGTAAACACATGTAATCAACGCTATTGGAAGGCCAAGAGATAACTGTTTTCTTGTCTATTATCAGAAAAAAAATACATCTTGTCAAGAATCATATTATTGTTTAACCCCAAGCCAACTGCCAAATTGATAATAGGTTTATTCTGGTATGAATCAAGGGTCCATGTACTAAACTGTCTCTCAAGTTCTTAATGAAAATATACAAACTATACTTATTCCACTATAATATTTTCAGATTTCTTGGAAATGTTGTGGGTAACTCAGCCCACACTACAATAAAATTAGGTTTATATGACGTTAAAAATGTCTAAATGTTCTAATATGATAATTTATAGGACCAAACAAAAAAATGGTTTATCTAAAAATGTTGTAATAGATTTTTTTGGTGAAAGCGAGACACCGCTAGTAAGCTTTATTAAAACAAAAAAACGGTCTATCTAAAAGTGTTATTATAGATTTGTAGGACGCTTTTAAAATAAAACGTCGTATTAGTTATTTTATACGACACTATTTAAAATGGTGTTCTATAAACATAAATATCTGTTGTAATATTCTTTTAGATAAGACATTTTATAATTTAACCTTATAAACATAAATCCTATAAAAATACCTTATTAGAACGTTTAGATATTTTAGGCGTTCTATAAACCCAATTTTTTTTTCGTAGTTCTTATGTTAATTCTATTTTCGGTTTTTAGGATGCAATAACTTTCGATACGTAGCGGTATCGTAGCCCTTGGCCTTCTAGGAGGTCAATGGTTCAAACCTCACCATAGGTGAGGAGGGTGTGTGAGTTTATTTATTGCATTTGCCGTATATAAATATTATATACTTCAAAAAAAAAAAAAACTTTCGATACGGTTTTTTACTGTTTCCAAGTTGTAATTTTCGCATGAGAAATTGGGACTTGGCTACCTTAAACTAAATACTGAAACGTTACCTCTTTTTGTGTCTTAGAATATGCCAAAAAAGATTGCAGGAGGAGCAAACAAGATGGTTAATTCTGTGACAGGTTTGTCTTAGTTTCTCTTCCACTTCAAGGAGTAAATAGTTTTGATTGGAATACTCACTTTTCTTTATAGGTACTAAAAGGAATGTGTTATTCATTACAATGTAGTTTGTCTTTATGGGACGCTTAAAATGTCTAAGCGTCTTAATGAAATGATTCACACGACTTGTGTTTGTAGGACAAAACCAATAAATGTCATATCTAAATGTGTTACAATAGGTTTATAAGACGTTTTTGAACGTCTTAACAAGTTTTTCAAGATGATTTTAGAATTAAATGTCATATTAGTTATTTTATATGACATTATTTAAAAAATTGTCCTATAAATACAAGTGTTATATTAAAACCCATCTTTTTTATATGACACGTCTCAAAGTTGTTGTATAGAATAGCTTATACGACACTTTATTTTTGAAGCGTCCCAAAAACTTGTTAAAATGCACAAAAACATTCTATATATAAGCTTATTGTAACACTTTTAGACTTGATGTTTTATAGTTTGGTTCTATAAAGTATTTTGTTAGGATGCTTAGACATTCAAAACGTCCTATAAAGCCAATTTTGTTGTAGTTATTGTATAAGGGTGGTCCATAATCATGATGTTGTTTGTAGTCATGAACTGAAGATTCCTGTAATCGTAGTTAGATAATTAGTTCGTTCGATCTCACATCATTGAAGTGTAGTAGATACACTATTGCTTCATCCTCTATAATTCACCATCCATCAATTTAGGTTCATTCCACATTTTTCATTTCCATCATCTCTTGGATTACTTTCTGAACAATTCATGGTTGCTTTGCCTTTGCTTATGCCACAGTTCATATTACTCTTGATTCTTTTTTGTCAACTCATGGTAGAGTTCTTACCCTACACACTTCAATCAGAGCTTTTCGTTGGGTTGCTTACTCCATTCATCCTTTCAATAAATTCAAAGCTAGAGTCATAAAAAAGTTTGTTTGTGTTATGTTTTCATTCAATAAAATCATATTCATTTTTGGGTCCATAATCAAGGGTGAAAGATTTATGACATGTCAAGGAAAGAAAAAACTGACGTGACAAAAAGAGAAAGAAAACTGATGTGGCAAAGTCATGAACTTGTACTTGTAGATATGAGCAGCACAACAAAACTGTCAATATACCATTAAATCATAGGAAACAATGATCCATCTCACCCTTCTACATCCCTTGGTCCAATTCTACTGTCTCGCTATTCTACAACACCGAATGTTGCATATCAATCATCATTGCCACAAAATCGCAGTCAATCTATGCGTAGTGTGTCATCTTGAAATCGTAGAAGGTCTAGAAGGCAATCTGACCTCTGGGCCAAGTGGACAAGTGTAAATACCATTTTGCTTTGCATGATGGCTATTATGGTTTAGAGATCAAACTCACACAAAGTATGAATACATAGACATAAAAAGGATGAATTTTTTTATGTGTTTTTAAGTAACAATTAACTCTAGTTAGTAACTGTCTGATACAAAGATAAAACTCCCCCTCAGGATGAGCTCGAGAATATATCTTCAAGAACCATATATATCGGACATCAAAGGATTGAGTTTCGACTGTGGCAACACTTTTGTGAACTTATTGGCCAATTCAAAATGCATTCAAATGGGCAATGGCTTCATGGTCTTGCCAGCAAATTTGTATAAAATGAAATGTCTATTGGCTTCATTATGTTTAGTTCACTCATGGAATGTAGGATGGGATGTTAAACGAAGAGCAGATGTGTTGTTATAGAACATTAACGTAGGGAAGTCCCTGTGAGTATCAAAGTCTTCCAATAGTTGTTGCAGGCAATTGAGTTCACATGAAGCAGAGGCCATGGCTTGATACTCGCCATGATGGATGACCGAGAGACCATTAACTGTTCCTTGTAATGCCAATAAGCCAATGCATATTCCAAGAATACACAATATACGGTGACTGAACGTCTTGAATGCCTTGAGTTGGGCTGAACATTAACGTGCCTTCCAATGTCATAAAATGCCTTGAGCTATAAGGAAGACTGGGAGGATAGCGGCACACCTTGACCATGATTCATCTTAGTTGCCGAATCCGTTGATAAGTTGGGAAAATCATTGATGGATGAAGAAATTGTTGATCGAATTGGTTCAATAGTTGAATGTATCAACTGATTTGGCTCCATGTTTGAAGTCTGATTCCTTAAATCATCATCAGTAGACGTTGTAGGAATGACAGTCAAAGGAAAGGCATCAACGAATGAAGTATGAGATGATTGACACAAAGAAAAAATGATTTCATGGAACACAACACCACCGGAAGAAAAGAACATGTTGAAGCAAATGGTAAACAACAACAAAACTGAATGATCCAACAACTTCTGATACGTTGACTTGCCATCAAGAACTTGAAAATGGAATCTATTAATTAGATAAGTTGTAATTAGTCAACAAACCCTATGATCTCAAGTCAAAGGACTCTATACAATCACCACATGAGAAATTCTGTGAAACTCATATGACATCCAATGAAACGTTCATAGTTAGTCATGTTCTATACATATGATCCCATCTTGTAGCCATATGGGGATTCTATATCTTCATATGAATCCCTACATATACTACCTGCACCATATTTAATTCAACCTAAACCCGAATTAATATTTGACTAGAGACATTTTTAGAATACAACGTTCTAAGGTTATTATTACGTTTAAATATAACACAAAATAATATATATAAACATAATAATTTGAGCAATGTATTTCATTAATGAATATCACGACATAATGTCTAAACAATTTGTTCCAATGATTCGATTTTGGGCATATACACTAACATTACCTTGAGTAGGATTGATTTGTCATTGAGTACTCTTCTGTAAGTCAATATGTTCATCAACCAATAGTGCCTCACTTCCAAGCTTTGATGAATTATTATCCTCTTAGATAATCACTTGTCCCTCAACTCCATTTCCCCTCACCATCTACCCTTGATACATCATTACTTTATTGAAGAGTTAGAATCAAAATATTTATTAAAATAAAGTAAAGATGTCATGAATCTATTGGTGGGAGAAAGAGGGGACATGAAGTTTGGGGTCTGAATCCTAAGGTAGGTCAAAGGAACTTTGAGACAAGGTCTGTTTTTTCTCATATAAACAATCTAAAACTTGAAGCCCCTTGTGATGATTAGGGGATATATCATATTCATCACTATTCTGCTCTTGGGGTCATCTATACTTTCAAAGAGATCAAAGAAACCTGTCATTTGATTCATCATGTGAAGTGCCATGCCCATGGTTATTCTACATGTTAAAGGAGATACATATTATCATTTTATGTGGTGGTACATCTGCAATCTCTATAGCATTTTAATCTCGTTCATTAATATATATAAAATACATGGAGATGGATTTTCACTTCAATCTTGTGGTCAAGACTACATATCTTCACAAAATCCCTAGGGAGATGCCTCTATGTAGGCCTTTTTCGCTTCTTCGTCAAGCTTTCGAGCAACTCTTTCAACTACCACCTAATCCCTTAAACAAGAGCCACCAAGAGGTTCTTTATCTCATGTCATTTCGCACGCCTGTTTCACTTCTATCCGGTATTTGCTCTCCATGTTAGGCATGTGAACACATTCATACCTGTAATAAAGCATTGTTCGTAGTCATGACATTATCCGTAGTCACGACCATGGGAGGATTTTTAAATATTGTCTAAGCGGTCCTATGCCCCGTTCAATCATCCCGACATAGTTTTTACCGGTCTCAAAAGTGCATCTGCAGTGGTTCGATGTGGCCTTGTAAGAAAAACCACTTGGTGTTGCAAAACACTACTTGTTTGTCATTTTGATGGAAGGGTACTTTTGTAGTTAATTTTTATTTTATTTTATTTTATACCGTGTTAATTATTTTGTGCACCTCTTGAAGATATTTTTGGATTTGTCTGGCCATGATATGGGATTTGTGAAGTAGGGTCATTCTTGCAGTCGTAGTTAGATAGTTTGTTAGATCTAATGTCAGTGTAGAATAAATACAACCATGATCTTAAAAATCGGTTGAGGCACAGGCCTTGAGGCGAGATGATGAAAAATCCAATCTAATTAAGGCGATGTTTAGAGTTCATGTTTTTTCCCCATAACCTGAACTTAAACCTAGCTTTTTAACTTTTTAATCTAGCGTTTTCCTCATAACCTGAACATATATGTATGTATATATGTATGTATGTATCCTTATCGGTTCATTTCTGCAACTTTGTATTCATCTTTTATATATTTCTATATGACTTTGTATATCTTTATTTTGTGTCTACTCCAGTTTATATATCTATCTATATAAATATATGGAATGTGTTAGATAAGAAACAAAAAAATTGATAACTCACAAATATGTGAATTATTGGTAAAAAAACACGGGTCTACAAATGCATTTTCATATGTGAATAATAGGTAACCAAACATGGGCTTATATATGCATTTTCAAATTGATTTTTTTTAGGTTTACCGATGATTCGCGAATGACTCATTTATTTATCCTTCATTTAAGCATATTTAACATCATAAATATACTATTTTAAATATGTCATTCATCATGAATTTATTATTGTAAGCATGATATTCATCATGAAATATATTACTTCGAATATACTATTCATTATAAATATGATATTCAACATACATAAAATATTATTTTAAATATATTATTTAT